GTTAATATAATATTGTATCAATGTAATACATGTTATAAATGCTAAATAATGTTTTTATGATTTTAAGCCTGCAAGTCAAGCATTACTGAAGCTGAAACCCAATTGAAACAGGGACAGATTAAGTAAGAAATTGGCCATTATGTATTGCTTATATCATAACGTTTCATTGATTTGTCATAATATATAGTCACCCCTTGCATGCAATGTCAAAGTAGATTCATCTGGAGGGTTTTGACCTATTGGTAACTAGAATACATTGTTGTTTCCTTCAGTAGGAGCTGCATTAACCATTTGTAACCATTGTACCATTAACTTCAAGGATTCTATTGCTTTTTCACTTTCTTTTTTGTGCTCTGTTTGCTTATTTGTTTGTCTTTCAATATCTATCTTCTAGACTAAAACATGCACAAGCTGAGCTAAAGAGCAAGAAGTCTGAGCTGAAAGCAACAGAACAAGGTTATGAAAAGGACAAGAAAGAATTTGATGCYATTAACAAAGCCAAGAGTAAACTAGAGGTTAGTAAAACTTGTTACATGTTACATTAATTCACTGTATTTTCTTCAACAAGAATAGTCAGTGGTTGAAAGACTTTATAGTCTAATTCTCCTTGAGAATGTCCATTACAATAGAGGCCTATAATTCAATAAAACTTTTAAGTTCATTTTTAGTGAAAAGTCAAACAACATCCAGGACAAAATAAAAGAACAGTTTACAGACACTGAGTATGGTCAAAATTTCAACATGAATTGTCAGTTTCATTGGAATAGTTACTTAACTTTAAGATTTCCTGGACATTTTGACCAGTTTGTCACCCTTCTGACCCTCCTCTGGTGTTTATAAAATAACCTTTGTTTGCTTCTTGTGATTTTAGGCAGAGCTGAAAAAACTGAATTATGAAGTGGGAAAGGARGATAAGTTGTTTGCTGAAAGGTGAATGTTGATGATTTATTTAATATATGTCTTAATCATAATACAAGGCTACATACATTTAAAAAAATATTTCAGAGGAGAGCTGTAGAATAATTATTCACATTAATTAGCAAAATCCAAGACTCATTCTGTCGTGCAATYACCATTTGACAAATGCCTTCTCAATTTTATCCAACAATGTTTTTTTATATAGGTTTATAATAAGTATGTTGTACTATCTCATAACTATATCCTAATTTTATTATAACATTATACATGTATTATGATTCTAGGCGACAACTTGAAAGTAAACTCGCCAACCTGAAAAGTACAGTTAATAGTATAGAGGCCAAGTAAGTGAAACTTATCCATCATCCTTTAGTCTATTCCACATTTATCTATTGTTGAAGTTCAGTGCTTTTCTAAATATTATTTCTTTTCATAGGTTTCCAAATTTTAAGTTTGAATATAAAGATCCTGAACCCAGGTTTGATAGAAAAAAGGTATGATTGAAACGAATAGAAGATGGATTGACTATATTCATAGCTTGCATAGTATACCTACTACCCTGGTGCAAATCCTGGCTGGGATCCTATTACTAACCATRTACATAAGAATGTGATCTTGTGCATTAGATCCTATTCCTGTGCAGGATCCTGCTAAGGATACCAGCCTACATTTACATTAGGATCCCATTCCTAAATAAGATCCTACAGGATCCTGTCTAGGATTTGCACTACGGGTTGTCAAATCTCTAGAGAATTCATTTAGTTTTTAAGTGCAAGAAGTGCACATTTACAGCTGCTGTACCTGTAGTAAGCAATGTGCAATTAATTTTCCAGGTCAAAGGT